GTATCTAGACTTAAAAACTTCTGAACTTTTTCAACAGCTGGCCCTCCAGGTGCGCATTCCCTTCCTGTAGACAGCGCAGTGAGCTCTTGTTCTGGGTGCACATTCTTGTGAGCAGTATGACACATCCACCTGCAAGCTTAACAAAATCGACTTCCTGGAACAAGGTGAAGAGGTGGATGGGCATATGCAAGAGTCATTGTGATGACTGTCGACTCGTGACAGCGTTTGCTATGGCGTAAAATATGGGTCCGAGCACAGTTTTGAAGCAATTTTTGAAGTTATCGGCGAAGTTTGAAGTTCCTTGCGGTGCCCACAAATCGACGCCTTACAAGTGCATCGCTGACGCTGCATTGGTTGTGCACATCAAAAGTTATTTTTCAATTTAAAGAAAATTTACAGAAATAAAATTTTCCACATCAAATAAAAATGAATTGGATCACAACTATTTTAGGTATTTTTAGCATGACGGCCTTGATGCTTAATTTATGATGTAATCTCCCCAAAAGGTCAATTTTGTCAATTTTGAGATGTTTCTCAATAAATGTCTGTCTATAGACGTTTGAAATACATTTAGCAAATAGTACGTTAATTGCTAAAAAAACAAAAAAATGTTGTACGCTTGGAACTTTGCCACAGGTTTTTAAAGAGTGCCTGAATTTGCGTGTTTTCATGCGTATCTTGCACAGTGCATGAGTATCGTGCAAGATACGCATGCGCTGTGCGTACTAGTGCTGTCTCCCACCATCTGCCGACGTCAGGGCTAGTCTCAATAAAACCTAACAACAGCTATCAATAAACTTTCTTTCTGTTCCTGCTTTAGCTGACTGATACAGTTCGTAAGCCTAGTTAGGCCGTAGAAGTAATATATGGTTTTAGTTGTGACGTCACGTGAAATAACAATGACAACATAATGCTTTAAACTCAAATGTGTCACCATACCCAGTTTCAAGGTTGCACACGCATAATTTCTGCCCGCCTGCCTTTTGCTTTTCGCCAGCACATTTGAAGGGCGGTCCCATGACCACAAAACTCCTAAATGCGAAGCATTTTTAGCGAGCTATGGCGACCTTGAGCGTACCTATCTATCTATCTATCTATCTATCTATCTATCTATCTATCTATCTATCTATCTATCTATCTATCTATCTATCTATCTATCTATCTATCTATCTATCTATCTATCTATCTATCTATCTATCTATTTGCCACATACGACCTTTAGCTCTTCTGGTGCTTCTGAATTTTATATCAATACCGAACTCGGTATGGCATAACATTGCTGTATGAAAAACATATTTGACTAGTCATAACATGAAAATCTTGACATGTATGTCATGATTTACTTTTCATGGTTCCTGTAGCTCTTGCGGTGATTTCTTTCACATGGTATGTTGCAAAACTGGTATGGTATGACAAGATTGCATGGCGCACACAACCGACAGACCCTAACATGAAAGTCATGACATGCGTGTCATGTAACAACATGACTACATGCCACGCTCATGATGCGCTCGCAGCCGTTTCGCTAGCGTCACATATAACAAATTTGGTATTACCGTACGTAAATGGATGACAAAGGTATATGACTGGTGCAAACATGATAATCAAGAGATGTGTGTCGCGTAACAACTTAACTACATGTTACGCTCATGATGCACTCGCGGCCATTTCGCTAGCTTCACTTATACTGAATTTGGTATTACGGGATGTGAATAGATGACAAAGGTATGATACTGGTGCAAATATGATAAACATAAGATGCGTCTCATGTAACAACTTGATTACATGTAACGCTCATGATGCGCTCGCGGCCATTTCGCTAGCTTCACTTATACTGAATTTGGTATTACAGGACGTGAACAGATGACAAAGATATGACACTGGTGCAAATATCATAAACATAAGATGCGTCTCATGTGACAACTTGATTACATGTAACGCTCAAGATGCGCTCGCGGCCATTTCGCTAGCTTCACATGTACCAAACTCGGTATTACGCGACACAAACGGACGACATAGATAAATAACACAAACATTATAATAACGACATGCGTGTCATGTAACAACATGACTTCATGTCACACTCATCATGCGCTCACGGCCAGTTCGCTAGGTTCACATGTGTCAATTTTAGTATTACGTGACGCCAATTGGTGACGAAGGTATGTGACAGGTGCAAACATGATAATCATGAGATGCTTGTGGTGTGAGAACATGACTGCAGGCCACAGTCAATGCATAAATACATTTCGACGTGACACGGTGAGCGTGCTCCCTGGTGTTCATTTTGTCGCGTCACGCCGGCGTTGCCGTGCCTGCAGGCGCCGGTCTTCCCATATATTCGCAGGCGCGCGCCGCGCTGCATTTCTTTGGTACATGTGCGTTTGAGCGCGTCCAGCGTCCATTCGTCACGAAAAGAGGGAGACGCAGTGTTGTCTGGGTAACACATCGGCACGAAATGTAGCATGTGGCATTTAGCACCGGTTGCCATCGGGCCACGCCGATGGACGCTGGTCGCGCCGGTCACACCTGGCGTCAGATTATTGAGTGCTCGCGTTTCGCTAACGTAGCGTCGCTGTGCCCAGCGTGCGTGCGCGTCAACGCTACGTGGGAGTATATTGGGTCCTTCATGATGCGCTCGCGGCTGTTTTGCTAGCGCCACATATACCAAATTCGGTGTTACGTGACATCAATGGATGACGAAAGTATACGACTGGTGCAAGAAAGATAATCCCGACAAGCGTGTCATGCAAGAACATGACAACATACCACACTCATAGCGTGCTCGCGGCTGTTTCGCTAGCTCCACATATACTAAATTTGGTGTCACGTGACGTGCATAGATGACGAATGTAAACGACACATCCAAAAATGTTACTCATGACAGGTAAGTCATGTACGGCATCATTTACCTCAACCTCATTACATTACTTGCGCTGATTTTAAAGTGACATTTCATCCTTTCTCATTCGTGCTTCACGTATCATCGATTCCCGCTGTACATAGGATCTGCCACTTTTTTTTCAACAAAATACTTCACTAAACTTTCTTATGGTTACTTTTCAGCTCAACTTTTTTCATCGTAATCACTGGTGGCCGAGGTTTGGGCTGGGACGTCTCACTGTAATGGCCTAAAACGTCCTACACGATGCCGGGGGTTAGTATTGTAGAAAAAAGGGAATTGTATAGGGGCTATGGTAGCACCGGTACTCAGTGACTTTTTTCTAGGATCGTACACTTAATTTTTCTTTTTCTTCGCAAGGGGTAAGGTGAGTAATTAGATATGTAGACGATTACATAGTGTTAGTTACCGCCCATAACGATGCTGGTTTCGGTAGCACGGTTGCAGCTATTGTTGGAAATTGTTTTCATGATTCCAATGGCCTTAAATTCAAACACGAGAAGCCAGTTAACGGTGGTCTCATATTTTTAACTTGTATGTATTTTTTACACGTAATCACGTATGTTGGTTGTACACACCAAGAACCAATAAGACGTTGCTGTCATATCAAAATGCATATTCTACGCTCACATTAAAGGAGCAATCATATATTCATGTTGTCGTTCGGCACTGGTAAAATCATGCTACTATAAGGCCGAAGGAAGCCTTGCACTCAAGGAGGGACGCTTGATCAATGCCGCGTACCCGTCAGATGTGACTATAGGCTCATGTGAGCGGCTGCTTCTGAGCATCTAAGGTAATAGAAAACGTAGCCAGAGTGTGCTGGTAAGGAAGCCATGCTCTACATCCATTGCGTGTCATGCAATGTAAAAAAGGTGGCCAACTTTTACGTGGTCAGAACGATGTTTTCGGCTCCGTGCAAGTTGGCGAGAGTTTGTGCAATGATGCACAAAAGTAGGTGCATGCCCTGTAGTAAGCCCTGTTAATATATTCATTAATCGTACAGGTTTGGTCTACAAAGTACCCCTGTTTTGCGGCTTTTGCTACATAGGACTGATGGGACGCTGCTTCAATGAAAGGCCGAGGGAGCACAGATTAGCCGTACCTTCCCACACGGGTGGTCACGTGGATTTGCACTGTAGGCGATGCGAATGTACGCTGACCGTAAGAGATACAGCAATCCTGTACAAGTCAAACAACAAAATGTGAAGGGAAATCGTGGGGCCTTCTTCATTGCTAGAAGAGACAAATGCGTAAGCATGCCTTCGTTGACTGCGTCCTGGCAGCACTTCTTGGTTGGTTTTAGGTCTTTAAACATAGTAGTATTTTAGGACACTCCACTGCATTTTCTGTTTTTGTCTGTGTGCGTGCTTTTGTTGACCTTCATTATATTGTTATTCACCATCTACAGTATCTTGGCGTTGTCAGTGTAAAGCTTGATATGAACGATTATCCTGCTTTACTTTTTTTATATACACGCATGTGTCAGGCTGTTGTCTATTCGTATAGAGCAGAGCCGCTTTGGTGTTCCATGTACACAGTTGAAGTTTGCGCCCGTGTTGTTCACTCTCCTTCGTTGATGTCTTTTTCGCGCAACTCAAGTATGTGTTAAAGAATGCACCTACTTGTCCAAACTTGATTGATTGATTTATTCATATGCGGGGTTTAACGTCCCGACACCACCTTATGATTATGAGAGGCGCCGTAGTGGTGGGCTCTGGAAATTTTGACTGCCTGGGGTTCTTTAACGTGCACCCAAATCTGAGCACACGGGCCTACAACATTTCCGCCTCCATCGGAAATGCAGCCGTCGCAGCAGGGATTCGATCACGTGGCCTGCGGGTCAGCAGCCGAGTACCTTAGCCACTAGACAACCGCGGCGGGGCGACTTGTCCAAACTAAAGTTTTATTGCTAAATTACATCCGTGACGCTTTCCAATAGCACTGCCTCGTCAGGTTGTAATATCGAGCATGTGCAACTAGAAAATTGTGCACTGCTTCTGCACCTCATGGCGAGGCTCTGTATTTGGAGGGAACCTGCCGCCCCTCAAGCAATCGAAGTACGTGTGCGCCGCAATGTGAAGCAGCAAGTACTCACTGAGGAGCGCTTTCTCGTCCTGTTTGTGCAGCCGTGTGTTTTCGTACCGCGGCGCAGTCACCATGAGGTAGTAGCCCAGGATGGTAAGGCCCCTAGTCAACTGCGAAGAAGACTACATGATGTAGCTTCACTCTGTGTCAAAATAACTAAAACAAAACATGGCAACAATGATCATATGCAGACTAAGGAATGATTATGTAAAAACAAGAGCTGTGCCACGCGTTAAGGACAAACGGCCAGCCATACGCTAAATGCTTCATGTTTTTAATGAGCGAACGCGACGTAGATTCCGCTTCAAGGATCACATACACCCTCGACTATGACTATGTGGACCACCAGAGAAAGTCTATGCCGTGAAGTGGTGCACTTTCTGTTGTTTCGAGTATTGATGTGATCGCACGCAGTCATGTTCCGTATTGCGCGAAGGAATCGCCAATTCAAGACATAAAAATTCCTCTTTCGAGCATTTTTTGCAGCATACTTAGAACAGAAAGCCTGCATATTTTCCTGCCCAATGATGAAGAAATTTGTGCGAATACGCATGCACACATGCATGCACACATATGAAAGGCATGTGTGGCATGTTGATTGCTATTTGGATAATGACTTGCACCTGGACTCCTGCACAACACGAATGCATAGCCTGCGCAACTCATCTGTTGCAGGTAACTGCGCATATCACGGATGTTAAGTCTAACACCCTGAGTCAACAAGAATTATCAGACACAAAGTCTAAAGACTGTCATTGCGTGCTGCCTGCGTCAGAATGCCGAAATGGGCGGAGTAAGAAACAAAAGACAAATGCACACGCACATACCATGACGCAATCACATCACTTTTGTTCCCTTGATTTTTAGATATGCGTGAATGTGTCACATCTGTGCTGCTGTAACAATATCGAGGCTCGTTAACTAACTCGATGTTACTTATTATGGCACTGCAGAAGCCGAAAGGGCAAGATGACTGCACCGTTTACATACGTAAGTGTTTTATGCCGGAATCTCCCGCGATTTCACTGACTTATTTCCTCAAGAAAAAGCCGTCGACAAAATCCGCAGGAACAGAATACAAAGAAAAAAGTTCCGTCAACGGGAGTCGAACCTCCTTCCTCTCAGTTCGTGGCAAGCGATGGTGGGCATGCAATTGTAATCGCCACAGCCACTTTTTTTTCTTTGTTGCCTGTTCTTAGATAAGTAAACCACAATAACATATGCTATTACCAAAAACTAGCTGTGTCGGTCTTCCACAAACCAGCTCAGGGACCACCGTCAATGTGCGTCATAACAAACAGTGCCAGCTGATCCCGCGCCGTGATTCAAGGCACCAGCAACGGCCGCTTCTCCAGAGCATACGCTAATGCATCTCATCTGCAAAGAACTGACGTCTTGAAATCGAGCTTCCGGAAACATGGAGAGAATTCGAGAACCTAACGCGACTGCCCCCGGCGCCCGTCCGTCTGTGCATTAGAGCATACTAGCAGGAACTATACTCGGCAACAACTTTTCTTCGCACTGAAAGGAAAGCTATGGAGCTAAATCACGTGCATCCTACCACTAGTGAACGTAGTTACAAAGTAGCGGCTGTATATTGAACGTGCAATATAAGCGTTCCTCCTTTATTTTCTACGTAGAGATATTTGAGACAGCACGCAGCTCACACCAGTAAGGTATTCGTTATTGCTTTAGTTTCTCTGTTGTGTCTTCGCGTTTTAAATTTGAAGCGTTTCTCAGCGAATTTTTGTGACTTTCAGCGTATCTATCTATCTATCTATCTATCTATCTATCTATCTATCTATCTATCTATCTATCTATCTATCTATCTATCTATCTATCTATCTATCTATCTATCTATCTATCTATCTAGCCGCCTACGACTTTCAGCACTCTTGGCCGTTTCAATGACGTTATCGATACCAAAACTGGTATGTCATATCATGACGGTATGGCGAGCATGAGTGACTAGTCATCACATGAAAATAATGACATGAATGTCATGAATCTCATGACTTACATGCCATGGTCTTGCTGTCCTTGCGGTGGTTTCGTTCACGTGGCACGTTGCAAAACTGGTAGTGTATGGCATGACTGCACAGTGAACAAAAGTGACGGACCCTAACGTGTAAATCATGACATGCATGTCATGAAACTCATGAGTCACGACTACACACCACCCTCATGGTGCGCTTGTGGTCGTTTCACTAGCTTCAATTATACAAAATTTGGCAATACACGATGTGAATCGATGCCGAACGTATATATATGGCTGGTGCAAACACGATAATCAAGAGATGAGTGTGATGTAACAACATGACTACATGCCACGCTCATGATGAGCTCACAGACGTTTTGCTAGCTTCACATATACAAAATTTGGTATTACGTGACGCGAAAGCAGGATGAAGGTAAATGACACGTCCAAACATGATAATCATGAAATGCCTGTCTTATTTAAAACATGCTTACACGCTACGCTCATAGCGTGGTCACGGCCGTCTCGCTAGCTCCACTTATATAAAATTTGGTATCAGGTGACGTGAATAGGCGACGAAAGTGAATGACATGTCTAAACACGATAATCTTGATATGCGTGTCATATGTAAAACATGACTGCATGCAACGCTCATAGCATGCTTGCTGCCGTTTCGTGAGCTCCACATTGCAGTGAAGCTCCAAAGTGCAGTGCACATTTTGCCTGAGAGTCCACACTGAACGTCATTGTCTCTGCAAAGGCAATCTGTGCCAAGACCAGCAAGCGGGCCCGCCTGACGCCATCATCTCAACGACGTCATGCAAACGGCGCCATCCAGTCTGGCGAGTCTTACGCAATGCGTGGCAACACCACTCGTCCTTGAATGCAATCCAGCACAGCGGCTCTTGACTGGAAGATAATGACGCAACCCAGTAGCGGGTCTCCATCGAAGGATTCTGAGGAGACCTGGCGGCAGTTCTGATTGGACGTTGATGACGTAAAGGATCACCTGGGGCCTATAAAGAAAAGCGCGGCGCTTCGCCGGGCAGCTGACCTATGCGTCAGAAAGAAGCCGATCTATGCGTCCGAGAGAAGACATCTCGGCTCTTCGAGTACCTAAGCTGTCAGCCCCAGTGACGAATATGTAACACCTCTGTTTCTATGCTGTACATAAGCCTGGCCTTTCAATGTCGTCTTGTCCGCTCGTCTATCACCTCTGCGAAGAAACAGTCGCGAGCTGAGAAACACACGCAACCAAACGGCTGGTGACCTTGCCATCGGTGAGTTTCGGAGCAGTGGCGCCTTCGGGAACGTGTTGGCGTCGCACTTCGTAACAGTGGATGGCAGCTGTTGGATCGGCCGGCGTCAGCGATATCAATGTGGCGAGAGCCTGATGTTTCCCCTCAGTTCACCAGACTGCTCTAGAACAGGTTATTTACAAAGGCTGTGTGAAGCATTAGTTTATTTAGAGAAGGGCTGTTTGAAGCAATAGTGAGTGAGCTTTGATAGTTTTAAGCCAAGTCAGAGTGCTTTGAAACCAAAGGCAGTGCGCAGGGTGTGAACACGGCAGTGGGAAAAATGGCTTGCGTGTCTTGCTAGTCAACTTATAGTGGGTACGGCAAGTATATTCTTAACAGGGGCAAACAGCAAGAGGCTAGTGTGAACGATGGAGAACCTTAAAGTGAAGGAACTCATCAAAATTTGTGAGGATCTTGACCTTACTTTGGCCGTATGAAACGAAAGCTAGTGATCCTTGAAATCATGAAGGGCGAAGGAATGTCAGCTGAAGAAGTCGGTGAAGCACGCCGCGAGTAGGCTGAAAGGCGAGAAGTGGAAGTTCGCGAACATGAAGAAGCAGAAATACGCGAACGTCGCAAGCGTGAGGAGGCCGAAAGACAGGAGCGCCTCGAGTTGAAAAGAATAGAATTGGCAATCCTACAGTGTTCGCAGGAGCCTAGCGTAGCTTTCGCGATGGTTCAGGTCAGTTGTTATAAAATTCGGGACCGACTGCCACCGTTCGTACTAGGCGAGGACATGGCAAAGTATCTCGTCATGTTTGAACACGTCACTGAGCGAAATGGTTTGGAGCGGTCTCTTTGGGCGCAGAACCTGTTAGCTCTACTTCCCGGCGAAGTGTCCGACGGGATAACGTACTTGTCGAGGGAAGCATTTAAGAGCTGTGACGAGGTTAAGGAAGTGCTTTTGAGACATTATAAATTGTAACCCGAGGCTTTCCGGCAAAGGTTCCGGTATGCAAAAAAGGTGAATGAGTCACACGTTGACTTCGCGTTTTGTCTTAAAGCCGATTTAATGAAATGGCTCAAGGGTGAAGATGTTTATGACAGTCGCGATAAATTGATAGAATGCATTGCATTGGAACAATTCTACCGCTGCATCAAGAATGACCTCAAGCTTTTGGCTGCAAGACAAGCTTGGCGAAGTACAGCTAAACAAGGCATCAGAGTTGGCTGAGGAGTATTACACTCGCCGAAAGTTGCATATTAGGGAAGTGCGCGTTCAAACGGATGAAAGAAAAAAGGCTTTTCAAAAAACCTGATAAGCGGAAACACAATCCATACCATGATTTCAGGAAGGACCCGTATTTTATGACGGATACTGTAGGGGAAGGGCAAACGGAAGCGGAGAAATCGAGTGATGCTCCTTAAGAACGCACTGATACCACACGACGAGCGTTCGAATAACGGAAGCCGCTACTCTGCTACAACTGCAAAAAAGAAGGGCACATCGTGGTAAACTGTAAGCAAAAGTTTGTTTTCACAACAATCCGATAAACGGAAAAGAACATGCGGTTTTTAGAACCGTATCTCCCAGAAATTAGTATGAATGGGAAAACGTGTCAAGCACTTGGAGGCTCAGTGGCAACCATGGATGTTGTCCATCCTTCGTTTGTGCCTCCGGACGACTTTACAGGAGAAATGAACGTCTTATCCTCGCCTTCATTTATCATTATTCATGTTCAAATATTTGTTATGCCGGCTTACCGTATTTACTGGCATAAATTGCGTTCTCCCGTAATTTGCACAGAAACTGATACGCAAGAAGCCAATCAATCAGCTAGCACTGAAAGGGAAAGTACAGGAATTCAAAGTGTCACTACAGAAC